CACCCCTCTGCTCTCAGCACTGTCTCCCAGACACAGCCTCCCACTGCCCCCATTGACCGAATTCTGGCTAATAGGAGCAGCGGGGAAAGCCTCCAGGTGACATGTCTGTGTGCTGATGTTTCCCCAGTTGGGGGAGGGGGAGTGGCAGTGCATGGAGCTGCTTCTGTTTGGAGAGTTTCCCCTCTGCTCTCAGCACTGTGTACCAGGCACAGCCTCCTACTTCCCCCCTTGGTGAGGCAGAATGAGGGTCAAATGTAAAGGGTTCCTTGAGTTTGTGAAGAGCAGGGTAGTAAGACTGGCTCATGTGCAAAAATTCCTATTCCTGATTTAGTGAAGTCTGGTTCACTTCAAATGGACTAACCCAGAATCTGGATTGGCATCAGAGAAACTTGACTTAAAATTTTAACTAGGCTGCATCTACACTGAGAGTTTTTGCAGCAGAAAATATGCTAATGAGGGACTCATGCTAATGAGATCAGGACTTATGCTAATATTTTCTGCCATTTCTTTTTGTGTAAGGGGTTTTTGTGCAAAAAGAAGCATAGCTACTTCTGTTTTGCACAACCCCCCCGTTTTGCGTGAGATCCTTATGTTGAAAGATCCCACAGCAGAATAGTATTTTTGTATGGAACCTTGTCTTGTCAGAATTTTTTGTTTATTTAGAAGAAATGAAAACTTCTTGTGACACAGGGTGGGCGGGTACTGAAACCACTTGGAAGAGTCCAACTGAAATGTTTACAAATTCTCCATATTTGTGTGGGTAGGTGTCCTATGTATCTAGATTTGTCAAATAACCATCATTCAAATTACATTTTATACTCTGTTCAACATTTCAGGTTGAGGTGTAGGGTGTCCGTCTGTTTTTCTATGTGCAGTAATGGGGGCCTCTATTCCTGTGTATATTAGAGTTCAAATGGGAAGTGAAGTTTCTAGTCGAGGCCTACTGTGCCTTCCCTTGGAGGAGAAAAGAACTTGTTAAATGCAATATTTAAAGGTGGGGGAAAAAAGTATGATCACCCTTCTCCTGCATGGCTTTTCTTACAGAATGAATATATGAAAGACGACTTCTTCATAAAAATCGAGACCTGGCATAAACCAGACCTAGGGACATCTGAAAATGTAAGTAAGGGTCCAGTAGTAACCCAGCATTTGCTCTACTTACTGCACACATGATGATGATTCATCAGGTTCCCCTTTTCTGGCAGTGGGTGACAGCTGATCCTTAAAGGAAGGCAGTCTCTCTCAAACAAGTAATAAAAAGTACCCCTAAGAAGTTAGGGAAAGGGAAATGCTTTTTTTTTCTATTTTTTTTTTTCTTCAAAGCTGCTCCTGAGCATTTGTGCAAGGAAACTTCTTATCCCAGATGTTTAAAGTCAGTGGTTCTTCTTCAAGTGCTTGCTCATGTCCATTCTGATTAGGTGTACGCGTGCCACGTGCACAGATTCCGGAGCTTTTTTTCCCTTAGCAGTATCCATAGGGCCAGCAGGGAGCCCCCTGGAGTGGCGCCGGTATACCGGTGTGCATATACCCCCTCCACCCCCTCAGTTCCTTCTTACCACCCATGACGTGAAAGTAGCTGGAGCATGCTTTCAGGCTGTTAGCAGCTGTATTCCTTATCTCTTGTATTACAGTTCTAGTTGAAGTTTTATCTAGTTAAGTAGTTAAGTGCTGTAAATATTTAGTTAGATAGGGGAGCACAGCAGAACCCTCCCTGTGAGGGGAGGGCATGCCAGGGCCCCAGGGCTTTAAACCCTGTGCTTCCTGCTCCAAACCTATGCCCTGTGGAGATCCCCACTCCGACTGTCTAAAGTGTCTGGGTGAGGCCCATCGAGCTGAAAGCTGCTCTATCTGTAAGAGCTTTAAGCCCTGGACCAAAAAGGAGAGGGACTCCTGGCTAAAACTCCTACTAATGGAGTCGGCACTGCAGCCTCAGGGCGAGGAGCGGCCTCACTCTGTCCGCAGCGCACAAGGCACTGAGGCACAGATCGCAGTCCCCGGTGCCGAGGGCCCCCAAGAGCTCGAGGGGATGCTCGGCAGAGAGGAGTGCCCAGAAGGTGCGCCCTAAGGAGGACATCTCGGCCCAAGGGGAACCAGAGGCACAGCTCGGCGAGGAGGAGGCAGTCCCCTTGAGAGTTCTCGTCATCTTCTCCAGACGAGGCCCTGGCTGACCCCATGCCCCAGCCCCCCGTCAATGGACTCCAGGGCGCACCAGGAGCTGCTCCGAAGGCTGGCGGTCAACCTTGCGGTCCAGCACGAGGAGGTCCACAAGGACCAAGATCCAATG